ATATATATATATATATATATATATATATATATATATATATATGTATGTGTATGTGTGTGTTTAATTTCTCTTTTAGCTACTTTTGCCTGAACCTAACACTGTTAGTGAAACAAGGCGTTTTCAGATAGATGCAAGTTATTTTTGGTAATTTTTGCTACTTTCAGCCTAATTGACTTTTTTCTTTTCAGCTAGTTTAGCTAATTCAAGCCATTTTCAGATAAATTCCAAGTTTTTCATAGTAATTTCAGCTACTTTCAGCATACTTTTGTGTTGATTTTAATTTGTTATGCTCCTTTCAGCTTATTTCTAATAGTTTCAGCTATTTCAGCAGTTTTTGTGCTAATATTAGCATTTGCAGCTAATTGCACATTTTTTGCACTCATTTCAACTTTTGCGTTCTTTCTGCTTTCTCCTGCTGATTTACACTTGTTCTACATTTTCAGTTACGTTTCAGCATGTTTTTAGCAAATTTCATCTGCTTTTCAGCAAAATCTTCAGCAATAAGCGTTCACACTGGATTTTCACAGGAAATGCAATTTCTCTAGTTTTATAGAATTGTTTGCTTCAAGCAACAGGAGATGCTGATAATAGCACAGTGATAAAAAAATAAACAGTTTCCCAAATCTTCATAAAATATCAAAGACAAAATACAAAAGAACACATCCATGATTTTTTTTAAAAAGTGGAAAATGTAAATATAGTTTGAACCGTAATGCATCGAGGCAAGTCGAGCGCTGCGCTCTTTCAACTTGAAGCAGAGGTTTATTTCCACTCAGCTGCAGATTCCAACACACAAACAAGAAAAGCGCACAAAGTCCTGGCACCAACTAGAATTAGTGAAATGTAGCAGACACAGGACTTTCACACACACACACACACAGTGTGCAGCTCCTCCAGCAGAAATATCTGCAAACACTGGTTGTTGTGTGCTAATAAATGCTGACTTGTGCAAACAGTATTCGCAGCTGTTCCCACCACTCCAACGCCGCAACTACAAACATGATTCTTATTTAAACTCCACAAACTGGTCAGAGCTACAGAGATTCTGATGCCCTACGCTCAAAATGTTATGCCAATTGATTTTAGTGCAAACAAACAACCTCAAATATAAACATGAAGAACTTAAAGGCCTTCACGGTGCCTGCAGGCTCCGACTGGATGAACCCAAAATGAAAGGGTCGGAGTTACAGTTACCTTGGTCAAACCTCATCAGCGACACTACATTTCATTTCATGTCACATTTGGACCAAGTCATCTCACCAGATGCATCAACTCTCAGAGTATTGAAGACTCTCAGCTACTACCACACCAAATTTTAGCTTAACATCTGTCAAATTAACTAAGAAATAGACACTTTTGTTTTGAGTAATGTCAACTAGCTGTGCTGACCATCTTGATTCTGAAAGGTGATTAGTTGTAGATAGTAGCTGAGGGTATCTGCTGAAGGTATCTGCTGAAGGTATCTGCAGGTTTCAGCAAGTCAAATTTAAGACTTGGCCATTTTAATGCCACCTTGAATGAAATTTAAAACGTAATAAACTATAAAGGCAACGGATTGGGGATCATGCTGTATTACAACCAGGCTTATTATGTGTGGAACTTGAAACACATCCAAGTTGAGTTCTTGTCTCTGTATTGAAGATGGTGACATTCAGCGCTCTGTGCTTTAATAGCTGAATGTTCAAGTGCATTTATTTGGTTGGAAACAAACAAAGAAACAAAACCCCCGACATCTACTGAATACAGTCATGGCATCAATTGTGTTTTAATCTCCAGTTTTGTCTTTATATACAAAGATAATCAATGCCGTGAGATTCAAAAAAATTTTTGGGGGGTGGGGGGGTTGCACATGGCCTAGACTAGGTTGGCAACATTCATCCATCCATCCATCCATTTTCTTTACCCGCTTGTTCCATTTTGGGTCACGGGGGTCGCCGGTGCCCATGTCCAGCAATCACTGTGCTAGGGGCGGGGTACACCCTGGACGGGTCGCAAGTCCATCACAGGGCCACATAGAGACAAACGAGACAAACAACCATTCACTTTCTCACTCACACCTATGGACAATTTAGAGTTACCAATCAGCCTAACATGCATGTTTTTGGTCTGTGGGAGGAAACCGGAGTACCCGGAGAAAACCCACGCATGCACGGAGAGAACATGCAAACTCCACCCAGAAAGGCCCCTGGACTGGGGTTTGAACCAAGGACCTGCTCGCTGAGAGGCAGCAGCTCTACCAGTTGTGCCACCGTGCTGCCCTTGGCAACATTCATTCAACCTTTATTTATGCAAGTTAATCCCAGTGAGCCTTGGGGACTCATTTACAAGAGAGACCTGACGTAAGCCAGTTACAAAAACTGACGTCCAGCCGACTGTTGATACATTCAATTCAGAAATACTTTATTAATCCCAGAGGGAAATTAAATGTTGTGGTAACTCATCATCCTGGTTTCATTAATGAGTTGTTCTAGATGCTGATGACTGTGGGCAGGAAGGATCTCTTGTAGTGGTCTGTCCTGCAGTGGATCTGAAGAAGCCTCTGACTGAAGACACTCTGTTGTTGTATGACAGTCTGATGAAGAGGATGCTGAGGGTTGTCTATAATGTTCTTCATTTTATGAAGAATCCTTCTTTGTACAATCATTTCCAAAGGTTCTAGAAGAGTCCCCAGAACTGAGCCAGCCTTCTTTATGAGTCAGAGTCAGAGTTTCTTTATTGTCATTCGCACCTCATGTGGTACATGTGGTGGAGCGAAATTATGTACACGGGGTCCCAGTTACATCCGACAATAAAATGTCTAAGAAAAACAGTAATAACATCTAAGATATGAACTAAGAAAAACATCAACTAAA